GGTGGCAGCATCATGATGTGAAGTACGGAGGTGGCAGCATCATGACGTGAAGCACGGTGGTGGCAGCATCTGTGGAAGTGGAAGTGCTGAGTTTCCAATGACGCCTGTAACTCTAAATGTTCTATGTTCTATCAGTAATTGACACACATTCATCTGGAAATATGACAAAATCTGCTGCGTCAAAAATGTACATACAGCACGGCTAATATTTGGTTAAATGTCTTTTGGCCATTTTCACCTCAACGAGACACTTTTTGGTTTCTGTCCAGAAGCTTCTGTTTGTGTCTTTGACCCTCCTCATGATAGAATTATTGAAAAAAAAAAAAACTGCTTTCAAGACCTAACCCATTATTCCATGTGCAATGCAACAGTTCCACTGGCAGCAAAACAGCCCCCGAGCATGATACTGCCACCGCCGTGCTTGACAGTAGGTTTGGTCTCGGGGGTCAAGGTGTTGTAGGAGTCTGTGGAAACTCAAGACTGCCAGGACACACATTGTCTTTACAGGTGCATGTAAACTTTTGCTCACGACTGTAGTTCTTGTTGCAAAGGTACAAAAGGATACACGACTCTCTCCTGGTTGCGGTCGTATCTGGACACCATGACAGTGCAGGATCCACATCCTCCACCTCCACAGCCGTACTTAGTACCAGTCAGACCAACTGGACAAGACACGAGGTAAAAGTTCATTCAATACAAGCAACTGCGGCTGTAATTAAACCGAAACTTTCTCACATTTCCTATGTTGTAGTTTGAATTAAACTCAATACGATACACTTTTAGATTTGTTCATGGTGTTTGACAGGTTATATTCCTAAACAGCTACATTCCAGTCATTCGCATCTGCATTGGGTTTACAAGCAGGTGACAGAGAACTGAATTAAAACCAACCTTTTCTCCTCAGAAAACTGAGCAGCATCTGCTCTGGATCAGCGTTCTTCTCAACAACCTGGAAGGAAAGAGAAGACTTGAAACGTGGAATTAAAAAAACAAACACAAAAAAAATAAAAGGTAGGAAAAATTTATGGGATTAAAAATGAACTCAACAAATGTGAAACTTCTCCTTCCTCTCTTGTCTTTTAAAACAACAACAGGAAGCATTAAAGATCTGACCGTGTCATCGGTCCATCCGCTGACTTCATGCTCTATGTTCCCACATTTAACAGCATTACACTCAGTCATGGTAAATGTGCTCCTTTGTTATTTATGACAATTGATCACAATGTGTGATGCAGACTGCTGACCATCATGAGCCCCGCAACGCTTCACTGTGTCCGCTCTGCCTCTTTACAGCAACTATGGAGGATTCAAAGGGCCCTAAATCAATTAATTAATTAATATTTCATAAGATAGTGGAGGTGGTTGCAATTAAAAACAACGAGAATCAGCAAATAGACGGTAAAGCCTTCAGTGTTTTTGTTTAGCTTTAACACAGAGTCAATTAACAACTGCTTCACAACTGAATCTATTAAATGAATATTTACTTGTAAAGTCTTTAAAGCAACTTTTTATTACTTCTGTGTGCTTTGTTTAAACTGCACACAAACAGGAATGTAAAAAGGAAAATATTTCAGCGGGAGTTCAGTGCTGTATGCTAAGCTAAGCTAACAGCCTCTTGGTTCAGTTGCCTTCTCATCCAACTCTCCCCAGTATACAAGTATATTTCTAAAATGATGCACTACTGCTTTCACTTCTTTGTGAGTAATTTCAGATTATGAATTTGTCTGATAACAAACTCCATTTTAAGAGTTAAAAAATCCCAGAAAAAAGCCATAAAAATCACATCAGATACAGGTTTTTATCAACCGCAGAAGAGTTAAATAACTTTATTGCATCATGGGATAGTTTTCTTTCCACTGTCACTGTTTAGTTGTTAAAGTCAAGACAATATGCCGTGCTGATGAGGTTCATAGTCGTCAAATTCATCAGCAAATGTCAGAATTTCAATTCAGATTAAATCGTCTCTAAATATTAATTACGCTTAATGTTCTTATTTTACCACGTTTGTAGCTGTTGTTTTCAATTCTCACTAGTTTGATGTGTTCCTGGTATAAAACGAGCCACTTTGCTTGTTTTAGATGATACCAGAAGCATAAATAATTGATTTATTAAGTAAAATTTAATGGAAGTAAATGATGAATGTGCTCACCTTTCTCCCATTGATGAAGAAAACCAGCTCACTTGGTGAAGACATGATGCAGATCGGAGCAGATCGGTGTGAAACTTCGCCTTTAAGTACTGATCATTTCACGTCACGTGTTTCTCTTCACAATGATGAATCCGTCAGCTCCAGTTCTGACCTCCTGAGAGGTCAGGTAAATTCAGCATGTTTCCTCCTTGGAGCTTCTTTCTTGGTTAATGATTTAGTTTGTCTCAGTAATTTTACGCTGCTTCCATCATTTCAGTGCAGTTTGTTTTGTAAATTTACACCTCTCGATGCTCTTTTTGGCCTCCTTCCATTCTAGTTTTATGCCCAGCTGGCGACCCCAGTTTCCTACGTCTCAAGGTAATGCCTTTAAATACTCTTTAATTATCCAACCACCAACAGGTATTTAGTTTACAATAATATGTAACAGAGAAAAAGAGCAAATCCTCACTTTGGAGGAGCTGGAACCAGTTTTGGAGCTTGATGAATGACATGAAGTGCATGAATGTAGGATTAACAGAGCAGCAAACGGCTCCGAGCTTCTCTGTTCTGTGTTTTGGCAGCCAGTTGTTTCTATTCTTTATTGGCTCTCATGAAAAACAACCTTTCTGGCTGTAAAAGACAATCAAAGGAGCCATAAATGTGGTGTATGTGCCTGTTTACCAAAATATTTGCACTTTTTTTTTTAACTTTTAGCTCTCAGCATTTGTACAGTAAATGAAATCATACATATGAATGCAAGCTGTGCAGGAGTGGCCAGTCCATGACAGGAAAGCCACCACGCAGCTCTCATTTCTGTGTCTTGCTCTTTCAGTTAAATATCCTTTTCTTCACCCTTGAGGGAAACTGCATGCAGCAGCTTCTTATCTGCATCAATAAAAACACATATAACATGGAGAAGATGTGTAAACAAACAAACAAACAAAAAAGTCATTTCAGAAGGCAATGGGCTTCAGAAAAATCTAGTAGTTTGAAAGACACAAATTAATAAAGCAAAACTAAAAACAAAACAGCAAAACAGTATATATATATATTTTTTTTAAATTACATATGTATATATGTACATAATATATGTATGTATGTAATATGTTTTTTTTTACTTGTATGCTTTTAATACCTAGTAATTGATGCATTTACAAGAGCATTTAAAAATATAAATCAAATAACATCTACTCATAATAATAAAACACTCAAATATGCAAAAATGAAATCAATATTTATTAATAAATATAACAATATAATAATAAAACCTTCATAGTCAAGGTGTCAAGTGGCACTTATTTATATAGTGTACCTACAATATTATTGACCAGACTATAAGCTACATATTAAGGTTAAGACCATACATGAACATTAAGTGTACAAATTTACCCAATTAATAACTAAGTTCAATATTTTGGTTAGATTTATTTATTGCAAGTATTAAATTGCCTGAATAACTATATAGTAGTGTATTTGTAAAGTACTGAATAAAAACATGAACAAAAAATATAGCACAGTTGTCGCCGCTTTCTGCCTAAATAAATAAAATAAAATAAAAAATAAAAAAAAGAAATGAAGTTTATTGTTTTCCTTTTTTGTTCAACGGAAACCCCCTTTAAATCGCGCATGCGCGGCGGGCGGAGCCTGCGGAAGTCCTGACGGGAAGGTCTTTTTGTTTGGGCCGCTGAGAGAGTCGACACTTGCTTCAATTCCCCTGGTTAACAACCGTTTTTTATCTGCATTAATTTCGGTGAGTACCTGTTTTTCCAGCTTCTGTGTGTTCTCTCGCGCTTTAACCGTCGCTTAAATATGCTGCTTTGTCCGGTTAGCGGGATTAAAATGTCGTTTTTAACCCGGGAATGTTGCCATCATGGGCGCCGCTGGAGGGCGAATTTTGGTTTCTTCCACTTCGGCAAGCTAGCTTAGCATTAGCATCATTACAGCTCACAGACTTAAAGACTGCGGCTGTTATCACGGAGTTTGTTGTGACATTTCGACAGCAGTGTGTATTTTGGGCCAGATTACCTCCTAGTATTGTTTTTTAAGAGTGTTAGCCGAGGTTTAGCAGTTAATCCAACGTGGATAGCTGGCTAGCGGGCCCAGCTAGCCAGCGCTGGCTCGGCGCATGGTGAGGCCCGGAGTTAGCCAGGGCTAATCCACAATTAGCCAGGTGTAGTTTAGAAGATCATCCACTGTGACCGGGCAGATAGCTGTTCGTAGGAAATGTTTACGAAAGATTTTCCGCTTCTTTGTCCCACTTGTTTGCTCCGGTTAAAGTCTGAAACTACAGCAGCTGATTGTTTTACCACCCAACACCCACCAGCTCCATTGTACGTCCACGTATTGTCTTTTGTCTGGTTAGTCATGTCCAGATTCTGTGTGTGCTATTATTAAAACGCTTACCTGTGGTTTATCACCAGGGTACATGTGGTTTGAGATAAAACTAATCTGTCGGCTTTGCTTAAGTTGACATTAAATTTTGTTAAATCTGTCTCATTGTGAAACTGACTTAGTTCGAGTTAAAGGGATTTGATAATCCTTTAAATATGACTATTGTAACAGGATGCATGATTGCACGAAATTGGGAGAAACTGACAGATTTTGTATATAGTGATTTCGGAAATACAGTGTTATGAACTATTAGTGAAGAAGTAGTCATTCTAGACTGATTGGGGTGGTTTTGTAGGGGAATACAACTGCATCAGAAAAGGAAAATAAATGCAAAAAGCAGTTTGGAAACCTTTTCACACAATGTAACGCTGGTGAAGGCTTTAAAAATAGATTTTAGTTTGGATGACATTCAGATTTGGCTTTGCACTCGTCACACAGCGCTTCGTGGGGCTGATTTTAAATGGCCAGACGGAAGTATTTGTGCAAGACACCGTCGACAACATACCTGTTTTTGGTTAACAGCATCCTGTGTCTTGTAAATAAAGTTTAAAGAACTTGTCATTATGTTCTTTCAGCCAGATTTCTTTACTAAAAGTCGTGAAAACTTCGAGTCATGCAAGATTTCTTTCTCGTTTTGCGGCAAAGAAGTTTGAGTTCATGTCTTGCTATTGCGCACGTCGCAAATATGTGCTGAAATTATATAATGTGCAGCTATAAAACAACCTCAACATCTTCAAAGAGCATGACGGGTGGTGGTAAACGGTATTATGATTTTGTATGAGTGCCACAAATGGGCAATCACTGTTAGCTGTAAAAATATCTAAACTTTATGGCCCCCTGTGTCTGTGTGTGACAGTGCAATAATAGGTAGTTTCGCTTTAAAATACAGCCTCTGTAAATTGGTAATGCGGCTAAAAACAGTTGTCTTTTGCAAACGTTGCTGAAAGTGCACTTAAGTGTAGCTTGTTCTGCCTCAAACCCACATAGTGATGGAACATTTCACCCTGTATAATACTGTGGTTAGTTTAACAATAGTTCTCTATGCAGATGGTGGTTTTGGTCCTTTCATTGGAGTTCTTTTTTGCCAGCATCACCAGCTTTATCGCTCCAACTACCAGAAGCACATGTTTACCTGCTGGCTTTAAGCTTAATTGTAGAATGCTAGTTGACTAAGAGTGATTTGCAGTGTGAACGCATGAGATTGACTTCCCAAGTTACACCCAGACGCTGGCATTACAAAACATAATTAAAGGGAACACTGTGTGCTGTTCGTTTGTGTTTTAACATGTCGTCTGCGCAACTTGTGTAAACACTGACTGTCGGCATTTTGTTCATTTCAGGGTGTCTTTTATGAATAATCAAAAGCAGCAAAAGCCAACGCTAACCGGCCAGCGTTTCAAAACGAGGAAAAGAGGTCAGTGTTTCTGCTTTGCATCCCCAATCTTCCCCTTTTGTCCACGGAGGTCAATATTTCTGAATTAAACACATGCATTCTCGTCACACAGATGAAAAGGAGAGGTTTGACCCTACTCAGTTTCAAGAAAGTATCGTACAAGGCTTGAATCAAACTGGCACTGATTTGGAAGCGGTTGCAAAGTTCCTTGATGCCTCTGGCGCCAAGCTTGACTACCGCCGGTATGCAGAGACACTCTTTGACATCCTGGTGGCCGGCGGCATGCTGGGTGAGTTTGTACTGTGTTTCTTTACAACACAAGAGGTTCTGTTTCACTCTGAGCTAATAAATCGTGATGCTTTTTGGTTGTATTGATGCAGAAATGCAAAAATAACATAAAAGTGTGACTGCCGGCAGTTTGTCTGTTATTAAACCACGCAGTCACTTTATTTCCCTAAATAATTGTATTTTATTTTTCTCTCCTCCAGCCCCAGGCGGGACTCTATCTGACGACATGACCCGCACTGAGTTCTGCCTCTTCACGGCACAAGAAGACCTTGAGACAATGCAAGCATATGCTCAGGTAGAAAGCTTCTCTTTATACCCATAAATAGAGGCGTAATATATTCAAAACATATAAAGCAACTCCGTGATTTTTGACGGGACATTTCTTGCTTGCGTTGGAGCGTCGAGTGAATCTTCTGTTTCTTTTTCTCTCCAAAATAAAACAGGTTTTTAACAAGCTGATCAGGCGTTACAAGTACCTGGAGAAGGGTTTTGAAGAGGAGATCAAGAAGGTGAGTGTTTTTAAAACCAGACCAGATGTTCAACACTGTGGCATCGTTGTGTTTTCACCGGTCACACAACTTGTTGAGCTGGTTGGACGTATCCCGTTGATGAGTGTGTCATTTTAATATGCAGTTACTTAACTCCAGTTAGTGCTTTGTTGACGGGTTCAGCGGTGCTAATCTGTGATGTAATAGTTGATTATAGTGTCATTTTTATACCAAAAGCTGCTGATTTATAGCTTGAATGTAACATGAGACAGGTCAGCAGGTAACCAGGCTGCAGCAGACTGTGTGTATAAATGTATTACCGTATTTGACCATTACTTTGTGAGCACACAGTGATCACATGTTACAAAGCAGATTGTATTGAGACACATTTGAGCTCGTTGATTGTAAAATAGAAGCTGCTTCAGCCTCTGTGGGGCTGTAAACTGTTTTTATCACAATTGTAAGATCAACAAATAAACCTGCATTTGTTTTCTATTTGCAGTTGCTGCTGTTTTTAAAGGGGTTCACTGAGTCTGAGCGCAACAAACTCGCCATGCTGACCGGCATCCTGCTGGCCAACGGCAACATATCAGCCTCCATCCTGAACAGCCTCTTCAATGAGAACCTCGTCAAAGAGGGTAAGAACTTTTCTTTTTACAGTAAAGATTGGAACTGAGAGAGACTCCTTCACTTTGGATCATCCCAACTGGGTTTGTAATGAGGCAAGTGTTGGCTTTGTTTAGCAACATGTCTTCTTGTCTCCATCAGGAGTATCTGCAGCCTTCGCTGTCAAGCTGTTCAAGTCATGGATCAATGAGAAGGACATCAACTCTGTTGCTGCCAGTCTCCGCAAAGTCGGCATGGACAACAGGCTGATGGTAAACGAGCTGTTAGAAATCACAGCTAACTTGTGCACGTAACACCTTTTTGTCGGACAGAAAAAAATACAGAAATCCTCTTGTCCTGCGTAATCTGGCACATGACACATTTTTGAAGTTGTTGCAGCTCGTCTGAGTGTGAATATCTGCCTCACAGGAACTCTTTCCTGCCAACAAACGGAGCTGCGAGCATTTTTCTAAGTACTTTACCGACGCCGGGCTGAAGGAGCTGTCCGACTTCGCCCGCAACCAGCAATCCATCGGCGCCCGCAAGGAGCTGCAGAAGGAGCTCCAGGAGCAGATGTCCCGCGGTGACCCTCAGAAGGAGGTGGGTTGGCAGCGAAGCCTCCTGTCTATATTTAAATCCAGGTTTATTTATAAGGTCGTGCACAACATTGGGAGGCTCTAGAGTGACAAGTTGGCAAATACACACTACAAAGCTGCTGTACGTGATGTTTGGGTGAAGCAGCTCGTAGTGTTGTGACGCAGGTCTGAAAGTCACCACTGTTTATTTCTTCTCACAGATTTTTGTGTTTGGCAGATTTCCTCGTCAACACTTCCCTCTTTGCCTCGTTTCATAATTTTTATTTGTGACTAGTGAAGAGCACAATAACAAAGGCACAGCGAGTCGTGAACATGAAGATAAATTAGCAGTTTTGGCGTCAGAAACAATTTTGTAAGCTCGTTTTCGAGGCCGATGCACAACGTTAACTGCGCTCTGCTTGTCCCTCAGATTATTGCCTTCACCAGGGAGGAGATGAAAAAGGCCAACCTCTCTGAGCAGGCCATGATCGGCATCATCTGGACCAGCGTGATGAGCTCCGTGGAGTGGAACAAGAAGGAAGAGCTGGTGACCGAACAAGCCATCAAACACTTGAAGGTACAGTCGAGGGAAAAAAAAAAAGTGGGGAGTTTAAATGTCTCCGATGTCAGTTGAATAAAACACTCGAATGACTTAATCCGTCAGTTACTCAACCGGCGCAGAAGATTTGCTCATGTGTACAAAGATTGAGCAATAAAGTGTGAACTCGCCACAGTGACTGCAGGCTCTGGCAAGTCTGGAAATGTTTGAGTTTTAAGGCCTCGCTGTTATTCAGGGCTGTGGTGTTTATAAGAATCGGTGCTGCTCATGTTTTAAAATGTTAAATATTTATCTTATTCCAGTAAAACATCCAGAAACCTGTTATTGTTTACATGCAGTACGGTTTCAGGGAAGCAGATTTTGTGGTTTTAATGAGATTATTTTGTTGAATGAGGCTTTTTTTGTAGCAGTAGGTGAAGGGCATATGTTCTGTAATACACTAAATGTTATTTCTACAACCTCTTGGTCCTGTCAACAGCTCGGTGCAGAAGCGTGTACAAACGTGCCTCGTTGCTTAACCATTATTTGCACTTTTTTTGATTATCATGGTGTAAAAATCTACCAAAGTGGCAGTAAAAGGAGGAAGGAGTTAGTTAAAGCTGAAGAGAGCCACAAAGCTGCAATTAAAACCTTGATCTAAGTTGTAGTCGCTCAGTAAGTACAGATTTTACAACTTGTCGTCTCGTTCGCTGCAGCAATACAGCCCTCTGCTGAAAGCCTTCACCTCCCAGGGTCTGTCCGAGCTCAGCCTGCTGCTGAAGATCCAGGAGTACTGCTACGACAACATCCACTTCATGAAGGCCTTCCAGAAGATCGTGGTGCTCCTCTACAAAGGTCTGAGTCCGCAGAACCGAGCTCAGCTGCATCAAGTCGCCTTGTGCAAAACCCTCCACTGACAGTTTGTCTCGTTTTGTTTTAGGTTTATGAAAGTCGGTTCACTTTAAACGCTGAGACGTACGAGGTCATTTTTCAACATTTCCTTGACCTTAAACTGTTGTAGCTCTCATGCTTGGTGTCGTTCTTTAACAAAGTCTGGCTTCGGCGTCTGATTTGGCGATTAGATTTCCCTGAAAAGCTGCAGCACATTTAAAAAAAATAAAAAAAACTTTTAAAAAACCTTCAAGTACTTCCCACCAAGCATCAGTAAAGCGTTTTCTCTTTAAGTGAACCTTTTACAAAGACACATTTCAGGCACTTTGAGTGAATGTTTAGCGTTTCGGTCCCGCTTCGCAGCTCTGACGTCGTCTTTCTTTCTTTTAATTTCCTCCCAACAGCGGATGTATTGAGCGAAGAGGCCATACTGAAGTGGTACACTGAAGCCCACCTTGCCAAGGGGAAGAGCGTTTTCCTCGAGCAAATGAAAAAGTTTGTCGAGTGGCTGAAGAACGCAGAAGAAGGTAAAGGAGATTTTAAAAAAAAAAAAGGACACTTCCTGCTTCAGGGCAGCAAACATTTCTTAAAGCAGATATTTCTACTTGTCGCAGCAGGAGAAACTCTTTGGGTGTGTCAGCAAACTGTATAATATGATTCGTTGGGTTTTATAGGTCACATGAACCTTTTCAAGCCTTTCGGTTGATATAATGTCCCAATAATCGCAGGTTCCCAAAGCCCAGATTGATTTATTTAAATGTCTTGTTTAGTTTAACATCAGAGCAGACAAATTAAACAAGCATTTTTTCACACTTCCAAAGCTGCAACAAGGAAATTTCTTATATTTTTTGGCTTAAAGGATAATCAACAGGGTATTTAAAGTGATTTTATGGTAATTAATGAGATGTGAAATCAGTTAGATCATCTTAGTTTAAGCACGGTGTCGAGCTACGAGTTCGTCAGGTTGATAATCTGGATTTGTAGTTTTATTTTAGTGCAGGATTTTACCTGTTAAGTGCATAAAAGCTTCTCACAAAGCTTCATGATATTGACTTTCTGTTGATTTACGGTTATTTAGAGCTGCAGCTTGGCGTCGTTTTTACTTTGCTGAATCGTTACAGTCCACAAATCTTATAAAATGTCATTTGTAGTTTCCCTAAACGTGATTGATTTTCTGGTTTTATCCAGACGAAGGCCAAAACCCAGAGCAAGCACAACCTCACATTTAGAATCTAAAATGAAATCGAAATGATCTCAGATTTATTCAGCTGGTTGATCGACAAGCAGCTGTGAGTTTTAATAAAGCAGTTCAGTACAAAAACGCATAGCTACGTGCTAAAATACACGCGTATGCATGTTTGAAATAACATTTATGAGGGTGTAAAAGTACAACAGATGTCTCAAAAGTTGTTAGATTTTAACCTGCATCTAATTAAAGCAAAAACCTTTCACACTGAGAAACCAAAGAAGTAAAGCTTTTCAACTCAACTAGAGGCATAAATCTGCCTTTATAGGGTTTGAACATCAGGATTTCAAGGTTAAAATGTCTCTAACTTTAAATCTCTTGTATCACAAGTCATCCAAAACAACATTTTGACAATTCTGAGGCATAAAATTAGAGGTTTACTGCCCCGTTTGTGGTGTTTTGCTCATTAGTTGATCACTTAAGTTCCAAAAACTTTACGTTTTTAGTTTATCAAGTGTGAAACTTTGCTGTTTTTCTTTGTCAAACTTGTTATTCTGACATTTAATTCACGAGGTGTCAGAATAATATTGAAAGTGTTTGAAATCTTCAGTTCTCTTGCTTGACTTTGTCCTTTTGTCGTCTCCCTGCAGAGTCAGAATCAGACGAGGAGGAGGCGGACTAAGAACCTCCATCGCCAGACGAGCTTTCATTTCTTTTTCTTTTTTTTTTTTGTTTCATTATTATTTTTTTTTACAAGTAGCAGCAGGAGCAGTAGAATGTCTTTGCCCTTCTTTCTCTTCTACCTCCTGTTACTTATTTATCCTCAGACATCCTTCCACCACTCCAAAAAAAAAAACAAAACAACAACAACCGTTACGTAAACTAAACAAGAAATTAAAAATAAATAATAGTGTTAAAAAAAGAAAAGGGCTCAGTCCTTCAAAGTGGAAAACGATGAATCCTCCCTCTCTACTTTTTATTTTTTTGGTATTATTATCGTCGTAATGCCTTCTGTAATCTGGAGACCAAACATTCCATGTGATCCCGACGGCCGCCGAATCTGAATTTGAGTAACATTCGCCTTTCTGGCACGAGACCACGAGGCCGACAAAAACAGCTCTGATGTTTTTGCCAAAGTTTTCTCCCCTCCTGCCCCCCTGTAAACTTTCTTTCTTTTTTTTTTTTTCTTCTTCTTCTTCTTTTGCCCAGCTCATGTTTTGGCTCGTGTTCAGTCTTAAACTTGGCCTTCTTTCTTGACTCTTGGGTAAACCTGTACTGCCTGTCGAGGCCGATCCGCGAGAAGACACGCCCAACCCCCCCACACCCGTAAGACGCCTCGCCAGCTAACTGATTATTATTGGTTTCTACTTTCTTTAATCTGATATACAACCGATTTGACTTTTTTATGAAATAAAGATTATTGAAATGGTTCTCACTGTGGTGTTTGCTGTTTTCATTTCCTCTTCAAAACGCCTGATTTAAAAAAAAAGAAGCCGTAAAGGTAAAAAAATTCAACTGTTGCTGGGGAACAAACTCTCCAGTGATGAAATAACAAATTAAAAATGTTCCTTAAAGGTAAAATAGGAAATATTCGATGTTTATGGAAGCCCATTGCTGCCAATATAGAAATCAAATGATATAAATTCAATTTCTCACCTTCTAAACCTTCATTTTTAATTCTGTGGCTTTGACAGCGCGATAATAAATCATTATTGGTGTTCGAAAAAGTTGGAGATCTTGTGATTCATGATGAACTATTTCGTAGTTATGAGGACACGTCAGTAATTGTTGTACCTCACTTACTGAATGTCTTTTGTGTTGAAAATGTTATTAAACTCGCGTGAACCGACAGCAGCGTTCACAAGGAAGTGATTCACACTGTGGGCTGCAACAGGAAGCTTGTTCTTATTTTAGCCTGTTTTTATTCTGGACAAAGCAACTGTAATGAGTTAACTAATGGTTTAAATTTGCTCTTGTATCAACTGTCACGAAACTGCTGTGATTCTGAAGGAATCCCAGAAACCTGATGCCTCTCAGGCTCCTCCAATGCGTCTTTTGTAAATCCGGTTTGCTTCTGTGCCATTAAAAGCTTGTTGACAACTAATCAGCATTCTTGATAAAAGATGAGACACTCGGGATTAAAGCCGCTCAGATGTGATTTGTGGTTGTTTGGTGCCCCTGTGGTCATTTTCTTGATCCATTTTGGTCACTTTGTGGTCATTTTTCTAACGTTTAGTCTCTTTGGGGCCATTTCTTGTCACCTTTTGGTCATTTTGTAGCTTTGAAGCCATTTTTAAAATAACATTTTGATTATTTTGCATTTCTTAATTGTTGTTTTTTGTCCCGTTCGCGTCTCTTTGTAGTCGTCTGCATTTAATTCTGCTCATTTTGTCTCTCTCGTTGTAGTATTTT